AATACGCAAAGTGGTATAAAATAGCACCAATGGCGTTTCTCCGTTTATTGGACGAAGTTTAGTCACGTGAATCGATACGAAGCTAGTTAACGTTTTCGTGTAGATTATTCAGCCCCCATAGTGACATCCCCCATAGGTTTTAGGCCCGCGTGCCACGATAGAACGTCATTTGTAGGTACTCATATCATCCAATTATCCCAAATACGAACAAGCAAAGGTCATCAGAATTAACTATTAATCGTCGATTAACTGAATATCAGTAAGAAAAGATCACCATTGATTTGTGGTATCCTCTAAAGAATTATTTAGACAAAACAGGTACTTTATTCTGAAACAAGAAATTTCATAATAACCAATCAACTTTTAAAAGTACAAAAAATTCTACACTATATAATATTGTTTTAGTCATTCACTTCCATAATTAACTGGCTTCTGTTCTAGTTCTGGGTATTACGTTGCTTATACACAGAAGTTCATAGAGATTGGGCTCCTGCGATGGAACAAAACAGTGCAGTGAATATTCGACAAATGTTCAGAGCTCATGTCCACCGAAGAAGAGTAGAAATTAAAAATTTATATGCAAAAACTAATAAAAAAATTATTTTGTTTATACATGACGCGTCGTAGAAAACTTTTTTTTTGGTGTAGTATAAGTCTAAAAGAACTGAACAATTGTTGTATTTAAAGTTTGTTCTATCACGTAACGTTACAAAGTTATATTTAAAAAATAACGAAAAAACGCAGAAACATTCATACAAAGTTTTATTAAAATCAGAATATTCAGGTTCAGAACCTTCCCTCGTAAGTCCGAGTCGAAGAAAAGGACAGCATGTGAAATACAAAAAGGTAGTGAGAGTCACAGCAGCTAAAAAAATTAAAAATGCTACGAATCCGTGAGAACATACTAACGCAACAATGAACCTTTTTTATTTGTGATTCTTTGTTCATAAAACTTTTATTGACGTAGCGGTGAGACTTTTCTGATTAAAATGATACCAAACATGAAATAATTTGGATCATATTTACTTAATCAAGTGTTTCTTTCATTATTACATTTGTTAATTACAAATGACTAAAATTATATCATGTTTGGTATCATTTTAACCAGAAGAATTTCACTAATATGTTAATAAAGTTTTCATTAATAAAGAATCAAAAATAAAACAGTTTTAAAGTTCTATTTGTATTGTAACATCGATACGCGGCCTTTTATACTTTTTTGTCTGCCTTAATCTGTCAATAGATTAAGGATCTCATGTCCTTTTTGTGTTTCAGATAAACCATAGCGTCCTTTCCATCAACGTCAGGACTAGCCGATATTTTCTCAACGTTTTGCAATCGGCGCACTATACACGCACGACTTTTTTATTTCGCCACACAAAAATTTTAAATAATAGTTACACCTACAATAATATACAATCCCACAAATTTCAAATGAATCTGTCCAACAGTTTTTTTACAAAAAATTCCCAAATATTACCTACTTTTTAGGACCCACAAGGTAAAACCCTTCCTTACGAAATTTGTAGTTTACCACAGAGTGGGATTGACACGACAGCTTCTTCAAACAATTCACAAATGTTTTTTTCCGGTGTTAGTAACGTTCATTCCATTAATTTTTTAATTTCTTGTCAGGAGCTTAATTTCAGTATTATTTTATGCATTAAAACACGCTTTAAAAAGCAGCAATTCACTCTGTTATATTGACATCGACATACAATACAATATATTGACGTAAATGTTTATTGTGTCCACAAAACCGTGACGTTTACATCATTCGCAGAAAATCCGTCAAAACTATTGCACTGGTCCAATATAAACTTTGTTATACCTTTACACAGATTTCCAAATAAATCAAGCCGTTCCATTAATTGCTATTTGAAATGTTGATTTCTAATTTGTTAAGAGCTGTACTTATCATATTTCCGTCGATTATCATGGAACAGTCCCGTCAAGATGATCAGCGAAGGTGCACGCGTGAGTGAAATTGTGAACGGTCTAATAATAACCGTGCACTTATATGGACGCTTGATTTTAATTCAAGCAAAAACGTCGGCCAGACTTCGTCCTTTTGGGGTTCGGGGTCAGTGATCATCATAATCAAAAAACGCGAGTAGCATCTGAAAGTGGTCGAAATCGTCCGCGATCTCAACGTAACGCTCCGGAAAGATTGTTCCACGGGAACTCCTTGATCTTGAGTTATTTTCGTCGCTTATGGTAACGAAACTCCGTATCGTCTCGACGAGACGGCACCAAGTTGCGAATAAATCGCAGCTGTTGCCAGGTTTCGTTGTCTGTTCTGTGACGGACGAATTATTTCGAAGAAATCGGTGAAAAATCGGTTGTTCCGCGTTCACTTCATAAAATAAGGTCAATGTTCCGTCGAAGCGTTGTGTAACTGATACGATAAAGAACGTAATAAATAATCACCTTGTATTATCTTGACTAAAGTCTTCCTAGACTACACGACATTCATGGAGGAAAAGAACGTTCCTCCATAAAAGTGTATGCTGTCATAATATTGTGATAAATGATTTGGATTCACTAAAGCCTCCCAAAATTGTCATAAATTTCTATGTCGTGATAACCTTGACTTGAGACTGGTTGACATAACATCGCCCAAGGTCTTAACTGTTCTAACTTCATTTTTCAATAAAATTTAATTAACCAATCTACGCGCGTCTCATTGGACCAATGAATACAAATTCACTGTAATACAAAAAAAAATTCAACCTAAAAAACAACAAATATTCTTTTAAGTCCTAACTCCGAGACTTTGAAAGTTTTCTTTTTTTAATGGTTGTATCTCCAAATACTAACGACCATTAAAAATTTATATTGATAATAAGACAAAATTTGGTTAAATATTGTAGTAAATAGCTGTTCGGTAGATGATATTATAGTGTGTTTGATTATTTCACTACTTTCCTGCTGCTATAATATTAAACTTCGTAAACTTTAAACTCAGTTTTCTCGGTTTAGAAATTAGTCGAGATAGAACACTTATGTACAGATACGATGTAGAAACGCAAGGATTTAATGGGAAACAGTCGAATTTTGAATACTATCCTGAAAGAAATTAACGCCAGGCATCATGGAAATTATTGAATGGAAGGTCCATATTTGAATGCTATACGATACAATATTATAGATTAAGAATTTTTTATTTTATGCATCGTGAAAATTTATGTCAATTTAATTATACTACATCGAAGTACAGTGACTCACAAATTTGTTCATGAAAGACTGTTATATTTGTTTAACTAAATTCCGTATCTGGCTGGAAATTATGATTTAATATTCAGAAAAGTTTCTCATAGAAGGATGGTGGAATTGAAGGTAACAGGAATAAATAAATCAAAATCTTATAAAAAACTGTTACACTTTTGGAAACAAACAGAACTTTACCAAATATTATATTATCGTAATTTGAATGCAATCGGGTCGCTAATAACCCTGCTGTTAGAGGTTGATGCGACTATAAAGAATAAATAAAAAATGTATGAAAAAGCGAATAATCAGTCAGGACTTATGTTATGAAACCTTTTAGTGAAGATAAGAAGTTTGCTTACAATGAATCACAATACAATTCTAAGCTAACTTTTAGTATTTGGCACATGCTTGAGACAATATAAAGTTAGACTTTTAACTTATTAAGTTTCAAAAAAAAATCGCAGAGAAACCGTCTTGCCCCTACCACGGGGTATGCCGGGGTACCGAAAATAGAACAAGATGGTTTGCTTATGTATTCTCACAATGGATACAAATATGTATTTTTCCGGAATTATATATTACTATTACTAATTCTATTATTATTATTCATTAAATTTATTATTGTTTTCGACCTAGCGTCCAGGGAACTAGAGAGGAAGCAGGGACTCAGTTTTCGTGCCCACCTCACATTAAGAACACGTTTATTGTAAAACCTTCGCGGTTCGAAATGTGCGTACAATTTTTAGTTATTAAAGCTCCATCAGCAACACTTATAAAAATATAAGTCATAAAGTGGCCGAAAATATATAATGTTTATGCAACATCATATTTTTTGCATACTGATTAGATATTCTAATACTTGTGAATGGCAGTGAACGTTCATATGTGCTATAAATGCATAAATTTTGCAGTTTATTTATATAGTACGGGAGGCCCGGACTGGTTGTCATGTTTCGTATAATTTCGTTACTAAATGCCAGACAGATTTATTATAGCGAATAAAATATACTGCTTTACAGAAGTAGGTAACTGTTTGGTATATGAATTAATTTTTCATTATTTATTCTTACTGTTAGAAGAAAAAATTCGACATCTTATTGCTTCAGTAAATATTTCTTATTTTCTTTTTCGTTTTCTGTATAATATACGGCGTAGTATCGTGGAACTTCTAGTGCACGAATATAATTTACATACTTTTAGACTGAATTTTCTTCCAGAGTTTTACCAATATTTCACCTTTACCGTAGTATTGTAATCCATTTTGTATACTTATCGCAAGTGGGGTAGTTGTTACAAGTAAAGGCTGCTATAGGGGTGCTTAAAGAGAAGAAAAGAAGCACATAAATGCACTGTGAAGAAAAATGTTAATTTAGAAATACTAAAATAAACAAAATTTTTGTTAAAATCACAGACTTACTTGTATTATATTATATATTCCGATATTACTTTTGCAAGTAACTCTTTCTTAGTAGGATTCATTTGTCTTTCAAGTATTTTAATTAAAATTTTACCATTTACGGTACCTGTGACGAACAACTGTTGCGTGAGACTTAACATGAGGTTGTTTGTCATATGTTACATTATTCTAATTAACATCAAACAAATAGGTGCTAACACTGGCATTGCAATGTTCGTATTTTTTTTTTTAAATACTTACAAATTACGGAGAAAAAAATTGTCAATTAAAAAATATGACAATTATCCCCGGTTTCCCGTAGTTCTTTTGGGCCCAATTGAATGATTGTTTTTTCTTTTATTTAACAGGAAGCGAGTGAATATCAGCAAAGATGTACGGCCTAATATTAGAGAACATGTCCGAGTATATACGGCAGGTCTACGGCGAAGATCGATGGGAAGAGATCCGACGACAAGCGTCCGTAGATCAACCCAGTTTCAGTGTTCATCAGGTTTATCCTGAGAATCTGATTCCGAGATTGGCGAAGAAGGCTATTCAGGTAGGATTCGCATGGTTAAAATTGTTCAGGTTAACCACGTGCGTATTGTGTACATTCTTCAGACGCAGCATAATTTAGTAATTAATTTTTCACTCTACTATGAAGTCTATTATTGTATTTATTATAATATTTTTATGAAAAAGTTCATTGAGACAAGTGTTAGGTGTACCAATAAGTAATCCATTATATCTTGATGAAATTAGTATTTTCGTTTGTACGGAAATAAAGGATCTATGTATATTGTTTAATGTGTATTTATACTGACTTTTCAAGAAAACATATTTTTAATTGAAAATATACTGCTTCGTAGTTAGTAAATATAGTGGGATTATTTATTGGTACACCTAATAATTAACAGTGTATGAGTGCAACTTTTCATTTTATTTTAACACCTATCATTGCATCTAATATTTTTTTTCTTCAGTAAGTCCATAATTCGAATTATTAATATGCTTAAGGTCGAATACGAAGGAGAATATAAATTATTTTTATCTATATAATGTAACATTTTTAAAGTAAAAGTGAGTTTACTGTTTAAAGTACAGTTTTCAAAGTACAATACAATTTTTTTGTAGCTATATGCATTGATAGCACAAACGAACAATGAAATTAAACTTTTAATAAACAATATTTTTGATTTAATAGATTCTTTTCTCCTTGAAATTAATTTTTACATGATTCTGATTTTACGAAGTAGGCAACCAGAGTAGATATTACATGGATAATATGAAATAATTGATATAATGGAATTTACAAGTGTGAAAAATATATGATTCAGAAGTTTTATCCAATTAAGATAAACTAAAGTAACGGAAATTTTTAAAAGGATGTAAGCAGTTATAAAATTATTTTAAAAATGTGCCTGTGTGAGAATACTTTTTTTATCTGCTGTATTGCTAAATTAATTTTGTTAATGTACTTTCACTTTTGGTATTGCTGAAGATGGAGTGCATCTGCGTAATTATAGATTGTTATAAATTATAAATAAATAAAACTGTGTATAAAAAGTAGACATAATGTAGCCATGCGAGCATATGCCCCCTAAAATGAGAGAAAAATATTTGAAATTAACATGAAAAGATGCTTTACAAATTAGATTCTGACTAGAATGATGATTTTCCATAGAACAGGAAAACTTTGTACGTATTGCATTATTAATGTTCTCCAGAAATTGTTTTAAAATTAAAATCAGTTTGCGAATACGCTAAAACAGATTTATGGCAAGTTTTATGTAAAATAACTACTTCCTCTCGTAATTATTAAATTCATACAAGTACTTTATCGTCATTTTTGAGTTAATGCGTGGCATTCTTCCTAATTTAACGAAAAAACATTAAATAATGTTAAAAAAAAATTAATGAAAGTTAACGGTACTTTTTGTAGCATTATGTATTTAAAATAACATACATGTATGTATCATCGAATATCTCGGAAATTCGGGTCGACCGACATATTCGCGAAAGGAAAAAGTTGTTCTGAATTTTGATTTCTACAACATATTCAAAAATCATCGAAATCGGTGAGGAAGTAGTTTTTCGACAAGTTCACCTTAATGTCGAGTATGGGTCACGTGTGGCCCAGTCACCGGGTTTCACGTCTCATGCGGGGGTTAAATGTCGAGAATGTGTTTCACGTGAAACGTGATTACGTATTGAAAACTGAAACACTCCAAACGAAGGAAAATATTTATTAGCGTATTGTCCTTTTATAAATAATAAAATTATTTATTTGTCACAACAGCGATAACATTCGATCCTAGAATTAAAAGATTTGTAATTATACGAATCATGTTCAATAATATTTCATTCGTACATTCCACAGACTTGTCAGTTATTTTATTTGTATGAGGACAATTGATATAAAATTCAACGACTTGGTTTAGGTTTCTGAGTTGATATTTAGAGAAAAAAATCTAAGCAGAATTGTCGAAAATAACCCACTGTATCGTGAATATGTTGCCACATATACTTGCTAATTACATGCCCTCGCCAAATTGAATGTATTCTTCGCTCACACCGCAGGTACTTGGCGTATCGGAGAAAGAATTTTTCGATCAGATGGGTGTACACTTCGTAGGATTCGTTGGCCAGTACGGTTACGATCGTGTGCTTTCAGTACTTGGACGTCACGTAAGAGATTTCCTTAACGGGTTGGACAATTTGCACGAATATCTCAAGTTCTCCTACCCGAGGATGAGAGCTCCTTCATTTATTTGCGAGAACGAAACGCGACAAGGTAAATAGTTGATTTGCGATTGTGCTTCTTTTTTAGTGGTAATTGATATTTTATTTCGTTCACCGGCCAAAATGACTAACTCCATTTTTAGAATTTTTTCAAATTTTAGTGCCAAAGCATATGATTGATATTATTGTATATAGTTGTATTAATATTCTCTACTTATTGTTCTATGGAGTTAATCACTTTGGGAATTGAACGGCTTATTGAACTGTGGGTATCATCTGTATCTGGCTATGAATATAATGGTAGTAATAATGGTCATACTTAGGTATTTGGTCCATTAGATGGTTATTTACAATTTTGTTAACATTGACGAGTTTTACAAGAAACAAAATTTCCAAAATATTAACATTTCTAAGAAACTACATTTTTCAAAGAAACAAAGCTAGTTGATAACATGGTGTAAGTTATTATGTTGTATAATAAGTGTTATTTTTTAATTTGCTTCATTTTATGTACCCAAGAATTGTTAAACATAGAGTCAAGAAGTTTGTGACTTGTTGGTAAGAATTTGTTGATTTAAATGGATCTTTCTTTGTTTAACAATTTTTCATTCAAGATGAATCTTCTTCATTTAAACTTTGCAGTTTACAACTAACAATTATTATGCGATAACTTAATATAGTAGTCTATCCATCCCAGGATGTCGTTATTAAGCAATACAAATAGGATATGTAGTTAATGTGACACTGAGCCTGTATATGTATAATAAAATATGTATAGATATTGATACTCATTTCTCACAATTTGATATAATTTGACAGTAAAGAAATAGTAAAATGTATGGAAAACTGGTCATACCTTCATAATCATGAATATTTTTTCTAAGTAGAAATTGTGCGTAATATATAGACATTTAAAACTGACAAAGATGTTCTAAACTTAGTTAGAGTAGTAATTCTTAATTTTGCAGTGCATTGAAATTAAATGAAAAAACAGAATTTGAAATAACGTTAAATATTAATAACAACGTCTATTTATCAGGCGTATGTAAAAAGTAATATTAAAGAATTGCTATAGCCTCTGTTACTCGAAATAGTATCCTTCATTTTCTGTAACTCTTCTCATTTTTCTTACAGAAATTGAATTTTTTCTTGCTGAAAAAATAAAGTAAGACTGACATATCAACTTGGAAGCAACGGTCATTACCTTTACACATTCCTGATATACGAATAAATTTCTTATGTGTTTTATTTAAGGCAAAATGTAGAGATAAGTAAATATTTATTGGTACTCAAGATTTGAACATTATAACATAAATGATATTTAAAACACAGATTACAGACGAAAGTTCATAATAAATATAGGAATTACCGAACAAGCCTCGTAACAAGTCTGAACTTATTCCTCTTTCCTTCTCTTTTAGGCTTGACTCTTCATTACAGGAGCAAACGACGTGGATTCGTTTTTTACACGATGGGCCAGATAAGAGAGGTGGCACGTCATTTTTATCACAAGGAATTACAGATCGAGCTTGTCCGTGAGGAGGTCCTTTTCGACACGGTCCACGTGACTTTCCAGCTCACCTTTGATAACAGAGCGTTCACACAGGCATCCCTGGCGATGACTCGGGAGGAGAAGCATTTGCCAATAGGAGCCTCAGTCTTGTTCGAAATATTCCCATTTTGTGTCGTTTTTGGGTAGGTCGAATTTGATTTTTCGTACACAAGTTACAAATATTTTATTTGACGTACCAGTAAGCGATCCCCTATTTTCGTATTTATTTCGAATTGTAATAATGTTTGGGAACTCTGGAACATATACATGGTGTTCAATATAACGGTATCTACAAATTTTAAAGCAGTGTCGACTTTAGGGGGTAAAGTAGTATACAGATTGCTACTAAAAATGTGGGACATTATCACAGGTTGGATTCTACAGGTCAAACTAATAAATATTAATTGTTGAGAATACTGGAAAAATATGCGTGAAATACGTTTAGCGTGATGCATTATACTACTCACAGCAGTCGTTCGCCAACTGATACACGGTATCGATCGATGTACTAGTTAAATTTCTGAATGAAATAAAATCAAACGAATGAAACCAACGTGTAAAACAATCGAAAAGCGCGTCGCTCAAGTAGAATAACCCGCGATGTCAGACGTATTATCGCGTGTTTCGTCCGTATTTTCAACAATTAATATCTCGAAAATGAAATTTCCAAACGCAATTTCGTTATTGCGTTATTCTTGATTTTTATTTTACTTTGAGCCGTACTATTAGTCACGCCTTATTTATACCACGAATTTGGCCGACCCTGTGTACAGAGTGTCCAATTATAAATAAACATGCAAACTACTGGATATTAATGTAGAAGAGATTTTAGTCCGAATATTGCGAAGTGGTACTCAAGTTCGTAGTTAATACGCATGACATCTTATGCCTGTACAGATGGCATCTGCAAATCGCGAGAAAAATGCTAAATAGGGTTGATAGGTTCTTTAAGATACCGAGTAAATTTAAATAAAGTATTCAGGCTGATGAACGTACTTCTGAACTTGAAGTTTAAGAAGGTAAACATTGCATGACCAGTCAATACCACAGCACAATTTTATAATTAAAATATCTCTTAAATTAATAGTTTTTTTATAGGAACCGACGAGTTGCATTGATTAATACATTAAAAAATACATAAAAAATAACATTCATATCTCCTCTACACGTTCACCTATAAAAACACTACCTGTATAAAATTATTTTCCGCTGAAAACTATTCATTTTGGTATCGTCAACGGTTTCGAAAATATGCAGAGAGATTGATCTAAATGATTCACCGTGTACATTTATGATTGAAACATCACTAAATTAATCCAATCATTTCAGCAACATACGTTTCCTATTAAAATACATTTTATAATTTTTCCGTTTCTGTATTTCTTTGATCGTTTAAATTCGTACGAGTTTTCGTTACGTATCATTCCCATAATTAATTAACATTCAAGAGCGGTGTAGAATTTAATTTGCATTTCCAGCTCAGATATGACCGTAAGAAGTATTGGAAATTCGCTGATGGTAATATTACCCGATCTCGTTGGCAAGAAAATCACGCATTTCTTCGATCTCGTTAGACCACTCATTGCGTTCAAGTTTCACTCCGTAAGGGCATTCAATAGATTTTGTACTTATTTAAAATCAGGTCATATTTTTTAACGTGTAAAACGATTGTTTTATTACAGATTTTAAACAGAACGAACAACATCTTCGAACTCGTGACAGTAGAACCAGTTCTGACGGAGCGGCCGTCTGATCGACACAGGAATGAGATTTTATTGAGCGATGAGCTTGATTCAGCGGATGACAGAACATTAAGATTAAAAGGTATCCGTTTGATTTGAGTTTGATTTATCACTTTTTCAAAAACTGTTGACGTTATATTATTTTGTTTCTTCGAGTGAAATTTTCTTAATTATCTCCTGTTTCTGTGCACTTATTATTACTAAACCTGTCGACTCTATGCATTTATAGTGTATAAAACTGCTTATAAAATTAATTTTATTTTTAACATAATAAAATTTTTAGTCGGCGAAAATGTACATGTACTATAAGAATATTAACACATATTTATGCATAATTAACAATGCAGAAAATATAGTTTTCTTTCTTTGTTTTTATTGTACATTTACCATTTTCCTTACTACACCTAAAAACTGTAGAATTTCGTAGATGTTAATCTTCCTGTACTGTTCGTGTTAATTTCACCCATACTCAGACCTTAATTTCTTATTAAATTTTTTTATCAGAGAAACTTGTTAAATAAATTTGACATCAGTAGTTTACATGTATAATGATCTGTAAATAGGTATATTTTCTCTAATTTCATTTTACCTTCGACCAGGTTTAATTGCAGGGATAGAAATACAATTTATCGAACAGTACTCAATGGTTAATAATAATTCATTAATGCTAAATGATTTTTTATCGCTGATATCGATTCTATATTTGTAGGTCAAATGATATACATGGATAACTGGAAGATGATGATGTATCTCGGCACCCCAGTAATGCCGGATTTAAACGCTCTGATCGCGACTGGCCTCTACATAAACGACCTCTCCATGCATGATTTCAGCAGGTACGTTGTATTTCTATGTGTATGATTGCTTCTTTTTATGAAATAACATGTGAAGAAGAAGAACATGCCTCCTGTATACCTACTCTCCTTGCCTTTTGTGTAAATGCACAATTGAAACAGAAATAACACATTTACAGCCGTTAACATAGTGTTATGTTTTTCTTACAAATACACAATAATAAACACATATACAAAATGTTGGTTCGCTATGGACGTAATTTGGCGGTCCTTTATACAGGTTGTTTCATACTATGTGAGACAGGAAACAAAAAATGTGTCCTATTTCGCTTCTTCTCAGGTTACAACTACTTTCGTATTCTAGCGATATACAGCTGCTTACTTTCATAGGAAGTGTTGAAAGTGGTCATGTTTGGCCTACATACAAGCAATCAGCCGTTATATCATGTACAACATATCACAATAAAATTACAAGAATAACTCATTCAGAAATTTTATAATAGTCGGACAACAATACTTCAGAAACTGATTGAAAATGCGTTCCTTTCGTGACTTTTTTATCGAGTAAATAAAGAAAAGTCACAGGGAGACTAATCAGGCGAATACCGGGGGATGTTCCGAATTTGTTATCAATTGTGGTGGTCACCGTGGTGGTCACCGATGACCGTCACCGTAAGTTACACGAACAAACATCGAATTTCTAAGCAGGAACATTTAAGATTTTATAAATACAAATAGTTGTAGAGTAATAATGTAAGTAATGAGTGTTCAGGTCAACGCGTAAACACTTATATTGTTAATAACAAAGACCTAAACAAATATATCTTATCATGATACTGTCACTAGAATAAAAACCGTGGCACTGGACGTGTTCAATACTCTTTCACTAGAATGGGTGAATGTGCAAGAATATTCCCGTTATACGTAACACGGAACTCAAACACGTCTTTACACGAATTAATTAGCATATCGACTAAAACATCTGACAAGGTTTACCTTTCGCATGGAGGTAGAGGCGGGATCAGATTACACAGGGGATCGACGTAATTATTCACATTGTTGCCACTTTGACGAAAACAAATTATTCTCGACACTTCATTGCCACACCTCGAATTTTTTTAATACTCCAGAAACTTAAAAAATTAATCATTTTTGTATATAGAGACTGCTCTTGATTATCGTCCCGAAATTGAGTCCGCCGCGGGACAATAATCTTATAGGGAGAAATGCTTCAGACCTTCGTAAATTCGTTTTTTGTCCGAAGGCCGAGCTTCGGCAGCAAAAGTGGAGGGGCAACAAAGAATGCACTTGACAGTAATCGCTTGACAATCGATAGAAGTAAATACGAGGAAATTACTCGATACTTTTGTTTCGATATCGAGTACTTTTGGTATCGATACGTACGGTTGCGATATCAAGTAAGTATCGAAGAAAGTACTCGTATTGCATGGAGTGAGTATCCACCTATCAACATTTGATGTTGTAATTACTTTCAACACAAAACAATGTGCCGACTATTGCCGGACTTGATTTCTGATTTACTTGTTACTTTACCTCCAATTTATTGAATTACGATTAGTTCCAAGTGCGCCATTTTGCGCCTAAACAAAAATATTTTTGTTTTAAGTTCTATCAGCCTAGTAAGTAATATCATACCGTAGTAACAATCACTGATTCTTATGAAATACAAAAATAATAATAAATAATAATAAGAATAATATTAATATAATCTTTTAATGTATTACTTTAACGTGTGGTCGAAAATAAGCTTTCTCTCTCTTTTTCATTGGCTTGCCCTTTTCTACGGTCGGAATACTACAAAGGCGAGTTGCCGAGGCTCGAGCTTCGGACGAGAAACGTATTCACGAGGGTCAGAAGCGTTTCGCGTGGCCCACGATTATAGTCCCTGCGTGGACCTGAGTTTGGGACAATAATCGCGAGACTCCTGTACTTAGAAAGATAGATTGGTTTGGTTTGTCTAGATACTTTTGGAACCGTCTTGCATCGCTGATCTAATGTCCGAAGTTGAATATTTTCAGAATATCTCTGTTGTTTTCCATATCAAGTAAAACATAATTTTAAACATTGTGCTTATTATTTTATAACTTTCGAACTTGCATTAACATCGGAACCTTGCGGAAACAATCTTCTGGTTATGTGATTGTACGTGGTGTATCCAGTTTTAGGAAAGTGAGGGAATTATTGGCATTTTTGAAAGTACTATGTGTCCAATTTCCAAAAAAAATTAATTCCAGCTAAATTTATTTATAGATTGACATCTTCTTTTTATTATTTACGATATGAAAGTCAAGTTATTATAATATTCCTCTGAATTAGTCCACAAAAGTTCAGCTGTTAAACGTACACTGCCGTCCGTAAATAGTAGGAAACCTGGTCCGATAAATATACATATTTTAGGCGACTTTTATTACTTTATACTAAGATAATCGTTGCTCGTCGAGCTTGAATATCCCCTAAACAATATTTGTTTTAGCCTTTCAGCAACTTTGTAATGCTTTGTAATATTTACTGCATATTCGATAATTGTCCTAATACTTATGCGCAATTATTCCGTGTTAAAGGGACTTGATGCTTGCTGGGACGCAACAATCGGTGGAGCTTAAACTAGCGCTAGATCAGGAACAGTTGAAGAGTAAGAAGCTGGAGGAATCAATGAGGAAGCTGGACGAGGAAATGAAACGCACGGATGAACTGCTTTATCAGATGATACCGAAACAAGTGGCGGATCGTTTGAGAAACGGAGAGAGTCCGATAGACACGTGCGAGGTGAGAAAAGTATTCTTCTTGTTTCATTCTTGGAATCAGATTTTCCAAATTAAATTATCAGGTATAGTGAGAATTTCCCGTATATTTTCAATTCACGTTGTAGTGGTGTAGAACCATTGTATTTTCGTCTGTGTCATATATCTATTATGGAATGTTTTATAGATGTGCACGCGAAAATCGTTAATTAGCGATTGAGCTAGTAAGACGTTCAAAGTTTGTATGAAGTTGAAAGAAGTTCATATGTAAAAGCATTATATTTTTCTACAAAAGTAATTCAGTACTAATAAGGTTTTCATAGATATCTCTTGAGCTGTATATCCAAAAGACGATTCCTACCCAGATGACACATCACGCCCAATGACGCCTTGAAGACGGCTTAAGGGCGCTTTAGACCTAAAATAGCCGTAAAATGAGCGACTTCGAGGCGTTATGTGCTATCTGGGTGTGTACTAGCGCGTTAATAATCGTGTACCTACTTTGTTTGTGATTGTTTTAGATGTTTGATAGCGTTTCGATTTTATTCTCGGACGTCGTCACGTTCACTGAAATCTGCAGCAGGATCACACCGATGGAAGTCGTGTCTATGCTAAACGCTATGTACTCGCTTTTTGACACGTTAACAGAAAGGAACCGGGTGTATAAGGTATTCATAGGTAGTAAGACTTAGAATTTACTTGTCCTCACACCATACACATGCTTTTTCTTTTACACGACGAAAGCACAGATTTACTAAAGCATAAATATCTTTTATCGCGTGGCTCGTAATTGCCTATCGCTCAAAAGTTTGGGATCACTGATACGGGTTGTCCCAAACATTTCCGAATCGAAGTTAAAATAGCAATTTTTCATATGATATTCGCGCTTTTTATCAGCAATTATTAAAAGTAGTTTCCTTCTGAAGTAACATATCGTCGTTCATGATAACTATGAAAACGTTGGATACAGCTTTGGCAATTCTACAAGGTGGCGGAAAAAGTAACCGTCGAAGCCCTGGGAATGTCAAAATGATTCATTTATATTATCGTTTCTTTGCCTTCGTTTCCAATTTGGTTATACGAATTAGATTGATGTACTTGAATTAGACGAATACGGTGGATAATTAAACTGTGAGACACCTTTTGAGCACAAAATGTTGTGTAAACTCGTTGTGTGACTCGTGAAGCCAAAAATTTCGACCGTCTTGAACAAAAATTATCACAGACATTTTCAGAGTTTGTATAATTATTGTGGACGGTATATCTCTTTAATAGAAATTTATTTTTAATATTTGATAGTAAAGAGCATCATTATTTCTATGGAAAATTTCTGTTTTAATTTCATTTTGGAAAGTTTTGAGACACATCGTATAGAATGTTCCCTATTTACGAAATAAAAATAATAAAGTGGCTATGTAGTATCAGTTTCAGTTTCGTTATTTGTCTAGTCAACTCGACTGTTCATTAGAATTTTTTCCACTGAAAAATTTGACAATAAGTTCATTTCTGTTAGAAGAATGTAATTCAAAACTTTTGAACGGTGGTAGGTACATGTATATCGCAGATCGCAGCCATTTTGGATACATTTTAATCATTTTTGAAAAGTAAGATATTAAAGGTTTCGTATGTCCTGTATGAATTTTATACTAATATTGTTCCCCAGGTTGAAACAATCGGCGACGCATACATGGTGGTGTCTGGAGCACCAGTGAAAGAAAACGACCATGCTGATCGTGTTTGTGATATGGCTCTGGACATGGTCGAAGCTATAACTGATTTAAAAGATCGTTCAACAGGTAGGACTGCGGGAAAGTATTCTGATCGTAAGTTTGGCAATTTATTTTTTTTATAAAGTTATGTTAATTATATTTAATTTCTTCAAGTGATTTTTCATAGTATTATTTATTAATCCTTTCGCTCCTGTTGTCACATATACCTTCCGTCATCCGGGACAGCTTCACTGCTAATTCAATAAAAATATTTGAATTATGATTTCTTATTGAATATATTGTTTTTATGTAAATTCCACTCTGTTTGTTTCTATACTGGAATTCTATCTCTTTAAATAATTTTTACAAAAATGATAATTGCGTTACATGGTAAAAGAAATTTGGTATCAAATAAATCAGCCTACTAGCGGAGCAGCCACCGGCAGTGAAAGGTTTAATAAATAGTTGATATTTTTTTTTATTATGACGGTAATATAGTCTGTATTTAGTAAAGCTTCCTTCAATATGTATTATCAACCTTTAATTTTTTTATTACTAATGTATCATGTGTTTATGATTTTTTTTGGACACAAACACTAAAATTGATAAGAAATAATGAATTACTGATTGTTACACCAAATAATTATTTTGTTACGTAATTCAATTTGTCCTTTTTTTATTGTTTATAATTATTAGGATAAATGGTTCTGTGATGATTATAAATAACAAAATCTTTATCGGAGGTATTACACATCTATTAAAATTTGATACTTTTAAATTTGAAAATTGAAAAATTAAAAACATATGGTACCGTAAATAAGAAACAAATTTTCGTGTATTTTTTATTTGCAATTCGTTCATTAATGAATGAAACAGTAACGATTCATTAAATGGTCGCGATTCATGTCTGCAACCTCTTTCGTACTGATTCTTCAAATGATGCGCGGAAACAAAAATTCTGTAACTTTCATTTTATTTTAATAATAACATTTTCGATGAATTGACAACAATTCCTGCTAAAGTGAGTCCAAACGCGTCTGTCATTGAAGGAGATCAGTATATTTTTGTCTTAAAAGCAGCGGTGACATAGTTTTTGAATTACAATTATCGTGTAATTTAAAATAGTCTGAATAACTCCAGATTAATTTTCGTCAGAAAAATTGTACTTTATTAAAAGCTTTCACTGAGCTTAAGTGGGGCTTTAGAAATTGTTTTCTTTACACATAGAAATAATGACATTGTTGCTTGTTATCTATCACTTTCATACATTAATTACAGATTCGTTAACACGTTAAGTGTCGAGCCAATTTTGTTGACTTTTCCGTTCACGCCACGTAGTACCATTAATTAGTGATATTATCAGCAAACGTCTGAAATTACGTCACTAATTACACAAAAAGGTGAAAGAGTGCCTGAAGGCAGAAATTTAACAAGAAATACTACGACAATACGAAACGATTTGGAAAAAAGTGCTAGAAGTTGGCTTACAAACATTATTGTTGCCAGAAGTAACAAAAGTTTCTGATAATTTCGATGGAAAATCATATCCCTGCTTTTCATATTTCAACAAACTCCATTAAAGTGACTATTGTGTTGTTGTATTACTCTATTCGTTAATATTACTGAAACTTAGGTGTATAGTTCAACCGTTTTCTTATGTAAGATTATTCTTACAACATTTATTTTTAAACACCGAAGTATTACTTTTTACCAGTGACCGATACGGCGCTTAGCGAATTAAATCGACGGCAGTAAATTACAAACGGACAACTGTACTTTTGTCGTTTTTCACTTTTCTACATAAATAAAATCCAAATAGTATTTAAAATCTATTTATGTAAAAAAGTGAAAATCGATAAAATTGTAGTTGTTCGTTTGTATATTGCTGCCGTCGAAATATCCGTATTTCGAGACTGTCACCAGCATGTAACGAATTTATTGTATTTTGACAAAGTATACACTTGCAATTGCTTCAAACGAATTGTTTTAACGTTTCCCTTCAGGTCTTCATCTTCAAATAAGAGTTGGAATACACAGCGGCGCTGTTGTGGCTGGAATTGTCGGTTTGAAAATGCCTCGGTACTGTCTGTTCGGTGATTCGGTGAACACAGCATCCCGAATGGAAGCGACAAGCCAGGCGATGCAAATTCACATATCGCAATCCACGCGTGAATTATTGTCGCCTTCGTACAAAGTCAAAGAACGGGGGGAGATAGAGGTGAAAGGTAAAGGTACGAGGATTTTCAATATTTCACTCAGACAGTCCGGTGTAAATACAGTTATCGCTGTCGAGGCTTTTGGGTTTAAGCCGTGTCCTTTTGGAAGAATTCTCAATTGCATTAGGATTCCATCAAGCATCAAATGACTGGTACATTACACTCAAGAGTTCTTAACAGTGATAACTATAATTGAAATACAGTCGTGAATGTTCGATGCAATATTCTCTGAAGGCGTTTATTTAAGGTAGTACATACATACGTATGTACATCAAGCGAATAAGTGATGATCGTGTTGAATTATACGAGGTGTATAAATTAATTGGATGCATTTATATCGAACAGTTATACCTCTATTTTAAATACGAATATTTTCCCGCCCTTTTGTGGTTTTCAAATGTTGATTTTAATGGTCTAAAAACGCCATATGCCTAGGCAAAACACTCGAGACAAGTTTACGAAACTGTAGAGCGAATACAGTGGCGTTTGAGAAGCAGATATCAGATATTGAATATTTTTTTTGTATTCTAAGTTTAAATGGAAAAATTTTCTAAAAAAAGAACGAGAGGATAGAAGAATGGCTTAGGAATTCGAAACAAAAAAGGAGGGAGGAAAAAGAAATATGTGCAATAGGGCGATAGGAAATAAATAGTAAGAAACAAGGTAGGGTTTAAGATAGAAGGGGAATGAATGGAGAGAGTGGATGGGAAGAATGCCTAGGTTAAGTTAGTAACGTAAGGATAGGATAAGTGTAAACCAAGTCCAAATTTCTTGGCTGTGAGGTTCCCCGATAACCAGTTGTGTACAAGTTTCGAGCAAATTGCCAGCAATAAATGACAAAAGTTGTCTAAAAAACCATAGCCATCTGTTTCCACATTTCACTTCGGTTCTGCAGGCAACGTCAGCTGACAAAATGGTAAAGCAAATTGGCAGAAAGTCTTGCTACATAACTTATGTGAAATTCAGGGCAAAACCGGAACAAGGTTTGCGCAAGCCAATTGAATATGTTGCTGTCAATTTGGTGCCTATGTTGCTATCAATGTGCGCGCAAATTATTTACAGTAAATCTTGTATCAAACTTGTAGCCATAATTTTGTAACAAGCATTGGACAAAATTTAGCTTTGCAGGTTAAAGAATATATCTATCTACTAGTTTATTTTAAAATAACTTCAGCCTTGTTTAAAAGGACATAATAAATTCGTATGTTATATTACACCACGCCTGACCTGCAGGTACATTATTTAAAATTATTTCTTCTATGAGATATTCGTGACTCGTGTTCTAATAATCGTTATTTGCGACCGAGCGTTACCGATGAAGTCGATGTTCTACTGTATAAGTTATGGAATGATACAATAAGTCAACAATATAATATATTACAAGAAATGTAATCCTTCCTGGTTGCTAGGGTTATGCGGTCTTGTAAATGTAGAAATCATGTTATCGAGCGCGGAAATTCTATTACCTATTATAAGGGTGATAAAAAAAAAAGGTTTCATAACTTCTAGGGTAGATAATACTCATAAAATGATGAGAAAAATTCTCAATGAACATGGATCGAAAGATTAATATTGTATATTCAAAGTTATAAACAATTTTTTGTTTCAGTTACAGTTGTAAAGAAAATTGTAAAAAAATAATGAAAATCGTAAAAACCTTCTGTAACTAGGAAAAGAAGAAATGATATGGTAATCCATTTTTTCTATACGGTACGATAGCTCTCGAAGCGAGAAAGTCGCTCGCTTGAACCGAAACAAAAAATTGTTTATAACTTTGAAAATATTAATTTTTGGACTCATGCTTATTAGGGCTTTTTTTTTTCATTATTTGGAAGGTACTGTCTATCCTAGAAGTCATGAACTCGTTTTTTGAACTCTGTATAAAGTTCTAATATTGATGTACTTGAAACTAAAACTTTTAAAAAATCATCGACATTGCAGGTACGATGAAAACTTACTGGTTAGAAAAAAGAGAACACAGGTCGTTGACGACGAAAGGGATTACTATTCAAGAACCGCCGCAATGGCATACGAGAAACATCGAGAAGAGAGTTTCAACGGGCACGGCCGCTGGTTTCACTGCTACCACCATGTTTGACAGTCAACATTGTTTGGAGACTTCGTCTAGGCGTGGTTCCAAGATACCATCTCCAACACTACCCGACACGTCGTTTCTTCCCGAAGAAAGGAGGATCTATTCGCCGATCACGTTTCAAGACGTTGCTCGAAGATCAGTCGCGAATTCACCGACGAAGAACACTGATACGAGGGGTAAGAGAATGATTTATCGAGCGAAATTCATTATTCGTATTCTGCAAATTCGATTCTTTGTACAGGGTGGGGTAATAACTATTACCATCTCAGATATCTTCGAAATTGTAAGGTTCACAAAAATATTTGTTTAATCAAAATTGCACAGTGGGAAGAGAGCCATTTGATGGCGCTAATAGTTTTTTTGCAGGCGGAGGTACTTTCGATATTTCAAGGTCACCTTCATTTTTTAAAATGGATCTGTATGTTTTTGTTTCCGTAGAATGATAGAGGAGCTTAAAACGAGTTCAACGACCTATTGCATAAGGTCATTGAAGGTCATGGAAAGTAGAGAAAAACGATAATGCTTACGGTTTATTTCATTAAAAATAAACACTGTTTGAAGGACACTTTAATAAGTTTGCAGAATAAAATATAATAAGAGTAGTATCGTATCGGTCAACAGGGCACGATGTATCCCTTTGTAGAGAAAGTCTACTAAAGAATTCTGTAGAATTGTATGGCGCGGTATCACAGGTGGTAGAATTATTGGTTCTCGCGCTCTAATTGGTCAGATTACATTATTGCTAAGGAAAAACTTGTTCCAATTCACCCCCTGAGTGCCCCCTTTCCGGGTCGGACAACATTTTTGTTACACCCTGTATAAAATTACCCTACAAGAATTATGCATCGACCTATCACTTGTAGATTTCAGGTCGAACTCCATGGGCGCAGTGATCACCAGGAACATGGACATGTTCAGTTCCCTTATAACCGACACGGAGGAACATTTCAGACACCACAGAGACAGTCTGTCGCCTCGTGTAGAGAATCAGGCGGTCCTAGTACACGCAAAGCCGGAAGTGAACGTGAACGCCAGTTCGAGCTCGTCGTCGGAAGAATTTCGGGAGGAGAGGGTGTCCACAGTTGACACCTCGAAGGGAGAAAGAAACGTGCCATCGAAAAAGAACAAGGAAATTTACGGGAAATTTCACAGAGACAATAATGCGCAGTCGTTGACGCAACAGGATCAGTGCTGTCCTGGGTTCACTATGTCGAAGAGCGGATCATAACAACGGTTGCATCCTCGCCTAATAGAAAACTGCTGGATCTATCGATCTGCCTTCTCAACGAGTCGAATCTATTCACGGCGATTCCGTTGGATTCGATTGGACTCGCATCCTTCTGAAATAATAGGATATATTCACTTATCGATTCGTCGAAGACGCAAGCTGGATTCTCATTGTCCATTCACGTGGTCGGTTTCTAATCACTGGTGAAATGAATGACGGAATATGTTCGATATAGAGGGTGTTAATTTTAAATCGAACATCCAAATTGTTTCCGCTACTATTGAAGGTAAGAAACATTACTGAATAGGATGTAAATGGTTTCAAGACGTACCTCTGGTGGTGATAAAAGAAATTCCTGTGAAGATCATTTTGACAGTTTTTTAAGGTCATTGTATTCTTTTCTGCATTAACATCCATTTTTTGTAACGCGATGTTGTAGTCGGCGTTACGACGAGTTCAACGATCTACATACCATGACCTTGAAGTGGCCTTGAAGACAATGATTTTGAAGCATTTTGAACATCTGATAAAATAAGGTGACATTACCATTCTCGTTTTATTGTTTTTACATTTGTCAAAATAAAACTCATTCGTTCCTCTTCAAGGTCACTGCAAGGTCACGGTTTGTCGATCATTGAATTCATTTTATTTTTTCTTAGCTTCTATAGTGACGTAAATAATTTAGATGCTCGATTTAAAATTAACACTCTGTATACTCGTAGTGATGGGTCCGCGAACAAATTGTTTCAAACATGTTCGATCTAAACTCTAAACATCTGACGAGGAGGTTAAATAGTTCTAGCCATGTTTGATCGTGGCCAGGCGTTCGAACTGTAGGTCACTTTCAAACAGTCTGATGACGTTTCAAATTCCAAACTTTCGAGCATTCGGGACTGTGGAGCAAGGAAGGTATCGATACATAAGTTGGTGCAAAATAGATGTCGTTTTTAAAGCTTGAATACATTCTATATGTACTGCTTTTATTTTTCGAACTGTTCATAGAAAGTTCTTTTTACGCTCAATTCATCGATGCCCTATAAAGTAAATGTTTCCATTACGGACTACTTGTTATTAAAAAACGACAAACAGAATATAGTCAACAAAATGTTAATTTACTTGTTAATTCGATTAGCCCTGGTTTGTAACTATATTCAGTATCATGTGTACTTCATGTATATGCATAAAAGATTTAGATTATTCGTAAAGAAGTATTATTTTATTATAAAAATTGAAATTTCCACGTTTAAACAATTAAAAATGACGAAATACTTATTTTTATCTTTTATTCGTTATTCGAAATTTTTTATCTGGATAATTAGTTTGCCCATCTCTGCATCGCAATCTACAGTTTGTTAATTAAGGTTTGTACTACTATAAATTATAATTGTTAGTTGTTTTATAAACTGGGTGGAGACTAGAATGTGTAACTGTACGTAAATGTGCATACACTCCTAATCATAGGTATTAGGACGCTTACCGACTAGGCAGTAAATTTTACATAGCATTGCGAAATTGCTAAAAGTTTGAAATAAATATTGTTTAGGAGATATTTAAGCTCGATGGATTACGCTTCTGCTACTAAAAGTGGTCTATAATATATAGTTGTTACAATATATAAAAATTTTCTTCATATACGCCAGGTATCCTAATACTTATGAGTGGTAGTGTATGTTAATGATGGATTCATTTACCTTATATGGCTTGAAGTTTCGATATTTCTCGCAATGTACTTGGTTCCATTGTTATTGAAGCATTTATCAAAAAAGTTGCATCAGTACAGTGTAAATTTCAGCATACGGTGCCCACTGGAAAATAAATTTATGAAACCTTTTTAATGGTGGTTAGCAAATGGCCATTTTAGCGGACAGTGAGAATTTGACTTACGTAGTAAAGAAATTTAGCGTGATTATATTCTTGGAAGAGTCTGAAACTTTGGACGATAAACCATACTTTATTATATAGTAGACACCATTAGACCGTGGACACAGGGCGGGTATTGTACTCTAATGAATATATAAAAAGGGAACAAAGAACAAGCGTTCAGAAGTGTGGTAGGATGCTTTAGTCGCTCAAGGTCACAGTGATGAGGTCATTGAAAGAATCAGTTTAAGTGGCGGGAATCGTTCAAAAATTGAAAATCTCCATTATACGTGAATGAATCTCGATGTACCAACATTGTTCGAAACAATTTGAGGGTTTTCATTGTGGGCACTCCTGTTGCATGAACCAAGCGAAGCTAATGCTACAAGTGAAACAAATTATGAAGTGATGTATTTCCGTACGTTTTAGATTTGTAAAAGATTTGTCAGGCCTTATATACTGCATCGACAGGTCCAGCAACTGTTATACACGATGTATATGATTCTTGAATTGTTTCGAGCAATATTTCTAGAGAAACAAAGCTAACGCTCAACTATGTATCGCCATGTGTTGGCGTTTTTTAAATGTTTAATGCATCAATTTTGCGATAGCTTTATGCGTTTCGTTCATTTCGTTATTTAATACAATTGCAATTTTTAGGTGTTTCCTGTCTTTGGGCAGCACGGACAAAATTTGATACAGCAAGCAAAAGCGAGAATTTAGAAAGTTTGATATAAATCATATAAATAATAACGATCGTCATTTATATTATCGATCTAGATATTAAATTTAATAAATGATATTAGGTTGATATAATATTTTATTTCAATGAATATTTACTTGAAAATTTAGATTTAGCGCTAGCATCAAGATCAGTATACAGAGTGTTTTGCAATAGGTGGGACTAATTTTAAGGGGCGATTCTATTTGATAAAATAAGACGAAGAAAAAAACGTAAATATTCAATTGTTCCTTAAGCGGAAATAGTTGTAAAATTATATACAGGTTAAGATTTTTAATTATTGTATATATAATATTTACAGGAATAATCGTTTATATAAAACAGTATTATTGGTTCAGTTTTACTTTGTACTATTATAAACACCTAAAAATATTGGAAGATTTTATTAAAACAATATTATATACACTTCGCTTTCTGTAATGAAATATACGAGTGAAACGCGACACCGTATCTATTCCGACCTGGGCGTGCTGGATGACAGAGTGGGGTGCGCGCACGTGCATGAGAAATACGTGTGAGAATAAAAGGGTCGGCAATAAACGAATGTCTACTGTAATGAGTTTTACTATTAGACACGAACCGCGATTTTCTATTCTGTGAATGTTCATTAAAATAGGCCGAAGATACACACACACTACACCAACTACCGAAATTTTGTTATGCTTTTCTTCCATTTCATTTTGCCATGTAGAAATATCCATTAAAATTAGTCCCATGTCTTGCTGTACACCCTGTATGAATAATCAATATAAAAGTGAATTTTCGTTGGATATGAGCAAGCTAGGGTGGAGTAAAACATGACTACATTTATAATCACAATTGGACACGTGTCCAATGAGCGACAAAATGTTTTTACTGCGTATTTAATTGTGTCTGCGTTTTAAGACTTTCGAGCGAAACTAAACGATTAAACTGGTTATCGTTAATCGAAGAAGATTTGCAATTACAGAACGATGCATTTTCAAGTGTCTTAAATATAATCTGTATATAGAATATGCACATACCTATTATGCAAGTTAATTGCAATGCATATACATATAAAAGTAAAACAAATCGGTTTGTTTTGCTAAAAGTTGAATTTTTGTCTTGTGAAAACAAGTTTTGCTGGCATTTAAGAAGAAGTCTATAAAATGGGAACATTTCAATGACTTAAGCCCTTAAGGGATTAAGATTAAATTTTTTGTTACAACGTTAATATTTAACCCTTTGGGCCACACGCACGGCATAATCGTACCCTTAGGGATTGATTAAAACAATTGTTCCATTTCTCTTCTGTTCCATACAAGTAAAAAAATAAATACTTATGCACGTTTAGAAAATAATTATTAGGACAAATGTTATTGTCAAAGAAAGCTTAATAATTATGTGCCATGACAGAATATATTGTTGGTCTGGAGGGCTGATGTAAGTTTCTTAATTATTATGGTTTTTCCAGTGTAAGCTGTATCCATGTAGAAAATATTTTCGATGCTTTATTCTCATTAAAATTAGAGTCATCGCAGCACTATTTATACTTGCAAGTTAAGTTATTAGTCATATAAAATATTATTTATATGTAATTTCATTATATTATTATTCGCATAGTATCGTTATATACTCGAATATCAATAAAGTTGCAATTACTTTCCATATGGATACGGCTGACATACGAAATTGCAAAATTTTTCAATTTAAACACAAATTGTAATCTAAGATTCATACTTGAACAGTCAAAATGGTTTCTGCGAATAGATGTTAATAGTTAAATGACAACATCAATGCTGTACGAAACAAGAAATCCGAAACTAACAAATGGAAAATAATTAGGCCAGATATTGATATTTACACGTTCGATGTAAGGTTTCAGTAAATTACGACGGACTCGAAGAAGCCATTTAAATTATATTTGTTTTCAGAGAGTGCTTATAGTCAAAGCAGATAATAATTTTTTGTAGTTGTTTTTTTAAATATCAAGATTATTCTTATTCAAGGAACGATACACTCATATCAAGTACAAATACCAAACACATTCTTTTAACATCCACCGCGTAATCGAAAGAATGGAAGTAATCTTGAAAGAAACAAAATGTTCAACGAATGACTGTCTTTAATATATATTCTTACTATGCATCAGAAAAATTCATATCAACTTTAAAAAAAAAAAACTTTATTGATATATTATGAGAATTTCATAACACGCGTTTTTAGGAATCGATAATAATTGATTTAAAAAAATATATTTACATTTTTACTTTTACGATTAATACATAGTCGGTTTCACGATCTCGTATATGTTAATTACTATTGTTGTTATCATTTATTATAATTATCATCACTGTAACTGATACTGCCTGTTCATTTAAACGCAATCTTCGCAAAATAATTGTTCAAGTAAGAGATAAGAAATTTTTCGAATACA